ACTGTCGAGGCCGTTGGCAAGGATGTCAAAAAGGATTTCAAAAGGGGTGACCGCGTATGTGGCTTCGTGCACGGCTCCAATGCAGTGCAGCCCGAGGACGGCACTTTCGCCGAGTACATCGTCGCCAAGGGCGACGTGCAGTGGAAGATACCCGAGAATATCAGCTTCCAAGAGGCCGCCACCCTCGGAGTGGGCATCAACACCGTGGGCCAGGGTCTGTACCAGAGTCTGAAGCTTGCCCTTCCCACCGACCCTATCAAGGATGCAACCCCAATTCTGATTTACGGCGGCTCCACCGCGACCGGCACCCTGGCTATCCAGTTTGCCAAGCTGTCGGGCTACAAGGTCCTGACTACTTGCTCGCCGCGCCACTTCGATTTGGTCCGCAGTCTTGGCGCCGATGATGTCTATGACTACAAGGACCCGCAAGCCCCCGCTAAAATTCGCAAGGCTACTGATAACAACCTGAAGCTTGTGTTTGACTGTATCTCGCTCGACTCCAGCGCTGCGTTTTGCGACAATGCTCTCTCTACTGATGGCGGCGAGTACAGCTCTTTGTTGAGTGTCAAGATTAACCGTGCCAATGTGAACGACCGCTACACCCTGGCTTATACCACTATCGGCGAGGCATTCTCCTTCGGTGATACGCCCATCCCCGCCAAGCCGGAGGACAAGGCTCACGCTGAGAAGTTCATTCCCATTGTCGAGGATCTGCTCGCCCAGGGAAAGATTAAGGCCCACCCCACCAAGGTCGGCGAGCATGGGTTGAAGGGTGTGATCGAGGGTCTGAAGTTGCTCAAGGAGGGCAAGGTCAGCGGCGAGAAGCTGGTCTACAATGTCTCCGAGACCCCTTGAATAAGACACTACTATCTGTCTACTGGATGATTAGAGAAACACGAAGCCATGGTTATTATTCCCACATTGTTGAATCGAGTTTGATTTATCCCTGCATCTCCAAGTCGTATGTTCCCCATTAGTTGACATTGATATTAATGTAGAGTCTTCCTAAGTAGGCTTGAATTGTCACCTGCCCCTCCTTCGTTATCTCAAATCCAATTATCAATCGAGCTATCCTCCTGCGTTTCGTACAGGGGGTCCCTCGCATCCTCGCATCAAATCCCGCTCCCAACTGACTGTTCTCTCGCCAGCCCAGACTAGTTCCAAACCAACTGCGACGATTCTCAATCGAGCTTTTGTTCAAACACATCTCGGGAAGCAGATCAAAACTGATAATTTAACGTTGACTAAACGTAAATTCTTCATAACGGTCTTTACCCCACTGCGTCCACTCCAGGCTGATAGTTGATAATGACACCGGCAACTGGGGTAGCTCCCCGAGGTCAGGCCGGTGGCCAATTGGATCACAGTGTCTGAATTAGGCTTAGGGAAGAAGCATTCATGGAGACCATATGTAGCTTTGTTAATACTTAGAGAGCTGATTGGTGTCCTTGGAGGGATCGACGGACAGGGATCCGAGAGTACGAACAGGTTGATCAGTAAATCATTGACAAGCTATAAATGGACACTCACTCCAGGGCTGTGCAGGTGCCTAGTACGATGACCTGCCCTGCTTAGTAGTTGACATTTAACGTGGACTGCCTAAAGACTCAAATGTCATTGGATTTATTCCAACATGCCCCTCATGCTCATTTCATTTCTCGGGGTATGAATAGGTGATCATTCTAAGCCCCGGCAAATTTCCATGCTAGTTAAAGATATACCAAATGGTCTCATGCTGGAAAAATAGATATAGACGAGAAAATGAATGAATAATAAGAGCACGTTGAACGCCTCGGAGGTAGGAATTCATGACCAACTTGGTGTTGGAAAGTCGGTCAAATATCCCCAGATCACTTCAGTTCCATGCTCGCGTTGGCACTAAGTGATAGTGGCGTAAGACTTACCAATCTTGCCCACGTCTCAGCATCCTCTAGAGTAAGATCAGCATTCTTTCCGCTCCCAATGCATAAGAGGTGGAAGACTGAGAGGGATTTGGGATTCCGGATCTTCAAAACCATACCGGCAACCTCTATTTTGGCCCATGGCAATACCAACATCAGCCCTTTTGAGAGCAGGCGAATCATTGACACCAAGTCTTAGATCGGTTCTAGAGGGACCAACTCCATCGATCTCACCTAAAGGAAAGGTCTATAAGCACATCAAACGCTCACGGCTACTGCCTCGGTCCGCACGCGAAGAGAAGGAGCGAGCTCGCAATCAGGCGTTCCGCCTAGACCGGTTCGACCTCCAGTACAAATCACATCTGACAAACGGACCCTTATCGAGCCATTTCGAGGAATTTGAGAAAGAGGCGATCCGTGAGGAGGCTGCCCGGCGAGATATCTCGAATACATCCTGGAAGGATCAGGGGCCTTCAATTCTTACCAGATCCTGGCAATCGAGAAGGAACTGAACAACCGCCCAATGGTAGAAAGGGAGGTTGACGCTCTGGAGCCTGGGCAGGAATAGGGACACCCCGAATGGAATGGGTTAGATGAGCTCCTTAAGACTCTACGGGGAGCAAATGAAAAGCTCCGCCAAACCGATATCAAGGCGAGGCCCTCAAATCGTAGGCTTGGTTACGCAGAGCTTCGCGGGGATATTCAAATATGCTTGTCTGTTTCATCAATATCGAGATGAGGAATAATGGTGTTCCTCTGATTCTATGTTGTGAATTGTCATGGACAACGGTCATCCTTGTGATGGCAGAATCAATGGATACTCTGTATGCGATGAAGTTGCCTTTTCTTTGCAGAGTCTTTCAAAATCAAAGCACGAAGGCAGAACATGGTTCACCCACAGCACTCCATATTTGGTTGTCATGGCGGACAGTAGTAAGTGCTCGTAGGAGAAGGCATGGTTATCTTCGAGTTGATTGGAGCTCCAATCAGTCTCAGACCACTTGACAGATCAAATAGATCTGTAGTCTAGAGGTGAATAGTAGGAATCAAGGAAAGGAAGCAACAATTTAGTCGACACCTCAAAGTAGTCGATACCTCAGAAATATATGATGGACCAGCGACAAATAAAGTATCGAGTACAATCCCAGCTAGGCGGCCAATCAAGAAGCGGCCCGCACATGAAAAATCGCAGTGGCAGAACAACTTTGAGAACAACTTTGCTACTTTGCTCTTCAAACACAACTTTGGCTTCCTAATTTTCTGTCTTTCTATCTGTCCATCGTCAATATGGTCGGTCCAATAGCATCCCTCTCACAATTACATCGTTCCGATGGTTCGGCGTCATACAAATGCCCAGCCACCGGTTACAGCATTCTGGGCGCTGTCAACGGGCCCATTGAGCTCCCAGCACGCCGTGACGCATTGAAGCCGGAAGAAGCCACTGTGGAGGTCTTTGTCAAACCTGGTACGACAACTGGTGGCGTCGGTGAAAGATATATCGAAGGAATCCTGCGGTCTGTGCTAGGGAAAATCGTCCTTGGACGCGAGAAGGGCTTCCCCCGTCGCGGCGTGGTCATCACCCTGGCTCTTGTTGGAGGAGAGAACGTGGCACGCGGTGACAATGTGAGTATCTCATTCCATTCGGCTTGCGCTTGTTGAACTGTCAGACTGATCTATCTAGTACCTTACTATCCTCCCGGCTCTCCTACATACTGGCTTGCTCGCTATGATCTCCGCCTCGGTTCCTCTGTCGATGACTTTCTCCGCGACCCTCCTCGGTGTAACTGAGGATGGCGATATTGTGCGGGACCCCTCTCCGACTGCCGCCAAGGCTGCTGTGTCCCTCCACGTTTTTGCCTTCTCCTCGAAGAACCACCTTCTACTCAACGAAAGCGAGGGTCGGTTTGGATTTGATACCTGGGAATATGTCCGTGAGCGCGCGCTCTCCATTTGCCAGGGCGAGACAACCGCCAGCGCTGATGGCGACGTTGCCATGGGTGAAGGAACGGCCAGCTCCAGTGTGAGCGGTTTCATCCGGGAGACCGTGGAGGATCAGATCTACAGCGACTACGCCTACAAGCTGGATTCTATCTGAGGTGGAATGCGCCCGGCAAATTTGCGGAGAGTTAGTGAGACGTGCTTAAGGTCGCGGTCACCCTTGGGCCCCTTCTCTTGTGCACATGACTTCCCAGCACTCGCTATATCGCCCCTCTCGACTAGGATACGACGGTGCCACAAAACAGTGGATCAAGTACCACACCCGGTTAAGGCACCGTCACCTGACTGCCGCTGCATGTACAACACGCTTCATTCACTGCCACAAGCGACAGCCTTGCATATGAGGCTTGTTCTCGGGCTCCTCAATTGTTGGATTCCGGACGGACCCTGTCTGCTTTTGATGACGTTTGGTCACTCACTTGCCAAGTGATTTAGCGGTGGACAGAACCACAGACTCCTAGGCGCAGTCAGAATGATGGCTATGCCTACTTCGAGTCGGGGTTGAGGAATACATGTTTAACCGGCATTTTGGCAAAGAATGCACAAAGTAACACGGAGAATGGAATATCCAAAGAAATAAAATACCTATCATGATCTATAAGCATCCTAACGAGCCTCCTATTGCCGATAGATTGATATGACAGTGTAAACGTCATTATCTGAGCGCACTGCGCGCCTGTACGGATTTGGCGATGACTAGTAGACTCGCCAATGAGAGGATTATCTGGGGAATCTGGGAATTGCAGAACGCAATCTAAATAATCTCGTGTACTAATGTGATGATCGAGGTCCGTGGTCTTCCTAAACAGGAATCCCATTTTTCTTGGATGTGCCTTGCCAATCCCAATCCTTGTCAATCTCTTCAATCTCTACCCTAATCCCAACCCACACCCAGTCCATCATCCTTGTCGTTATTATACCAAATAAGAAAAGGAATTCCCCCTGAAAAAACCCAAAAAAGAGTGTGGAATACGCTAGAAGCAATACCTGGGTCCACGACTGACGGGGGACACAGCATCTCAAGACTTCGGATCCGCAAACCCCGTTACATCCGAGCACTTTTCCTGATTATTCCATCTTATTTACCTGCCGCATAAGCCGATGGCGTCCAGCCGCGATCATCTACGGTCTGACACACTCCCGAGTCTATCTACAGCGCGAACGTCTCCCCCCTCTCTATCGTCCCCACCCAGACCGGCGCTCCTCCGAGATGCCCTCAGCATAGAACCCTTGCCCCAGACCAAGCCAGATCTCCCTGGAGCCGACAACGTGCTACCTATACACGTATCCGAATCGGTTCAGGAAGCCGCCTTGTCGCTGCCTTACTCAACACTACAGCAGTTTCGGAAGTCGACTAGCCGGCGATCGAAGAAAGCGTTGTCCACCGACTGCATACCGCGACAGACAATTTTGAAAGCCCTGGCCTCCCGGGCTACGATCATCACCAATAATACCGATATGTCGGGTTCTGTGTCGAGTATGCTCGCGAATAAATCCGCTCAGACTTCCCCGCCTTCGGAGAACCGACCACGGCGGGGGAGCAATGACTCCCCCAGAATATCTCGACTGCGCTATCGAATTTTCAATTGAGCGGATATCTCGATCGTTCACCTGCCGCGGCTCGTCTGATACTGCAATCGCCATGTTATTTCCACCAACGCTTCGATGATGCCGTCAACATAAAAAAGGTGTTGGAGGAAATCGCCGACGACGAGTGGCTGTCACATTCGCGACTGGTTCAGACAGCGACTGGTGTTCGTGAAGTGTCGAAGCAACTACAGCGACGACCTATCAAGCGAGCGGTGCGAAATGTCATGATTGTTACCAAGGCGCGTGATAACAGCCTGGTGCTCTTGACCCGGGAAGTTGCCGAGTGGCTACTTTCGACCGCAAGATACGGAAGTGAACTAGGAGTCAATGTCTATGTAGATGCGAAGCTGCGCAATTCGAAGCGATTTGACGCTCCGGGGCTATTGCAGAAAGACCCGATGTTTGCGCAGATGTTACATTTCTGGACACCGGATCTGTGCTGGACATCGCCAGATAAGTTCGACTTGGTGCTGACCCTTGGTGGTGACGGTACCGTTCTTTTCACATCGTGGCTCTTCCAGCGCGTGGTTCCGCCCGTGCTCTGCTTTTCGCTAGGCAGCCTGGGCTTCCTCACAAATTTCGAGTTTGCCGATTACAAATCACAGCTTAATGCCGTTATGGGCGAGGTGGGCATGCGCGTCAATCTGCGCATGCGGTTCACATGTACCGTATATCGGAAAGACCGGAGCAAAGGAGCAGAGCTGGGCGCTGTTGAAGAGGGCGAGCAATTCGAAGTACTGAACGAGCTCGTCATCGACCGCGGCCCGTCCCCCTACGTGTCGAACCTGGAGCTCTACGCCGACGACGAGCTGCTAACAGTCGTCCAAGCAGACGGCTGTATCTTCTCGACGCCGACTGGTTCCACGGCATATTCTCTGTCCGCCGGCGGATCTCTCATGCATCCGTCCATCCCGGGCATCCTCCTCACCCCAATCTGCCCACACACCCTCTCCTTCCGCCCAATGGTCCTCTCCGACTCCCACCTCCTCCGTATTGCCGTCCCCAAATCCTCTCGATCCACCGCTTACTGCGCCTTTGACGGCAAGGGCCGTGTCGAACTCCGCCAGGGCGACTACGTCACAGTCGAAGCCAGCCAGTACCCATTCCCGACCGTCGTTTCCAACAACAACGAATGGTTCACCAGCGTCCAGCGTGCTCTGCGCTGGAACACGCGCGGCGCGGTCCAAAAGAGCTGGGATGGCGGCGAAGCCGAGGCGGAAGTGAACACTGATCCCAATGAAGACGAACAGTGGGACATCGACATGGACACCGTGCTCGCTGGTCCAGACAGCGGCATCGGTCCCAGCGAAGACGGGGATGCTCTGTCGCCGAGTCCCATGCGTCGGCAAATGAGTTTGCTCAATATGTGATGTTCTTGTGCATGTTAGCGATTTTCGATTTCCTTGTGCTCTATACCTTTTTACCGTCTCGGTCTCGGCGTTTTCTCTTTCCATTTCTGCACCCAGCGTGATGAGTTCGCTCGGTATTTGGCCTGCATTGTATCTATTGTTTCCGACATATCTCGCGCAGGTCGACTGTCGTTTTATATTTCGGCTTGCTGGTTTGCATTACATTTTCAATCCTCGCGACGAATAAACTTACAGCGCATACAATACAATACAGCAAGACTTTTCAATCCCTATTCCATACTGTCAATGTGAAGATACACGGATGATATCAACTCCGTAGATTTTTAAAGTAAGGAGTGAACTACAGCAGAGCATGTTGCAGACTCTACGTAGGAAGAAATCACGATCATAAAACGTACAATATCATTTACCCAAGTCCGTATCTGTCGTAACCATTATAAAAACAAAATTATGTTAACTTTTACCAATCGCAGTGCTCAGCCAACAAAGCAGCCAATTTCTCCAAGTACTCCTTATCCACATCATCAAACCCAGAAGGCTCAGTGCAGTCGATATCAATAATAGCGACCGTCTAAAATGAGAACGTAAGTATATATTATTGCCCAAAACCCGCTTGTGCCCAACCCCACCAGGAAGTGGAAAAAGTACTAACCTCACCATTCACCAAAATAGGCACCACAATCTCACTCCGACTCTCCGCATCACAAGCAATATGCCCCGGGAAAGTCAGCACATCAGGCACGATAACCGTCTCCTGCTTCGCAGCCGCCGTGCCGCAAACGCCCTTCCCGAACTTAATCTCCTGGCACGCGGGCTTTCCCTGGAACGGCCCGAGGAGCAGGATCTGGTCGCCCGAGCAAGAGTATGTGGTTGAGATGATGACACCGCCGTACCCGGGTGCGCCTGGCAAGGGCGGCGAGGAGACGGGCGAGGCGAGGGCGGGGAATTTGTCGTCGCGGATGTAGAAGCCGGCCCAGTTGACGGATGAGGAGGGGGCTGGGAGAGAGCCGTAGGCGTGCCAGAGGAGGGAGGCGACGTTGGAGAGGTTGCTAGGTTCGTTGTTAGAGGTTGTAAGGTTTCGAGGGTTGTTGAAGCATTTTTTGGTTTGTGCTGTCACTCACCTGACCCAATTCCGTTGGCCGTCTAGGAGACCTTGTGTGGACAGCAGGAGCTGTTCGTATATTTCGGCCTTGGAGCTGCCGGGGGTGAAATAGGAGGAGTCGGCGTGAGGCTGTTGATGTTTTGTTAGTTCTGGCTTGGGATCTGCAGGGTCTTCGGTGTTCTGGAGTCAGGAAATTCGGCAACATACCATGATGATTTAATAGATGTAGGATGTATGTGCAGAGATGAGATGAGAATAAAATGGAGAGGAATTGAGAGGAATTGAGAGGAATTGACCAAGTGGCTTGCTGGCGTTTTTTTCTTTAAAAATGGCAGAATCGCCGAAGCGGGGCATTCCCAAGACGTTCAGCTCGAAAAAAAGGCTTTCGTTGTCCTTTGGATCTTTTCTTGGCTTTCTTCCGGAATTGCCTCTGGTTCTTTGTGTTCTTTTTACCCCCGATAAACCCCGATCTGTCCGGATCGTGGATGGAACATGGCCGTTGGTGGGAACTGCCGTCCATTCGCTCGACGAAGGGCCAAGAAAGGCCAAACTCCACAATCTCGCGGGGTTAACCATGTGCGAGCTCAACTCTCAGATCTTCCAATATGCAATTGAATCAATTGGTCGACTCCACCTTCAACCAGATGTCGGATGCGATTCGGAGAATTGAAATGTCCGAGAGTTGGAGTCAAACTTAACACTGCAAAGAACGAGCTCCTCCGTCTTCACTTTCACTTTCTCTTTCTCCAATTGACTGAACTTTCTTCTTACTCCAAGGACAGATAAGAAATAGTCGAGACCTTGCGCTAAACATTCTATCCACATGGTGTTTCTCGATCAAGGGGTTGATCATCTCATTGACTTTCGCCCGAAGTAGACATCGCATTCGGGAGATTGACGGTCTCTTGTACTGGAAACTATGGACGCTGCGTCCTTGATAGCCAGGTTCCACTTCCTCCGTACCTTTGATCCAACCGTCGGAATAGCTGGAAGGCTCCTGGATGTGGATTTCATCGGGAGTAATACGAACAACCGGACCTAGAAAGTATCAGATCCAATATCTTTCCCCGGAGATACCAGACACGGCGTACCAAACTTCCGGTGCATGAGGTCAATCTCGTGGTCGAAAATGCCCGGACCCCAGACCGAAAAGTAGATCTCATACAGCCCGCTTGCGGCCGCGAGACGAGGCCCCGGGAACCTACTGAGCTTGTGGAAATGAAGCCGGTAGATAACCATGACTAGGTTATAGGCCACCGCACTGCCTAGCAAGAAATAGAACATGATCAAGCTTGTTATGAAGATGAGAGTTAAAGAGTAAGGTACATTTCTACTATAGGAATTAAGTCTAGCCCAGGACTGTTCTCTTGATATAACATTCGACGATGAAATCTCTACAACACTAGACCGGGGCTAAGGCCGTCCCCCCACTACCTGCCCCATCGTCACGACAAGGATTCACTTGGCCAAGTCCATACCGCATGTTATGTTGTCTACCGCATAGACTTCTCGGCAGTCTCCCCGCAGCCATCCCCCCTGAAACTCCAGACTGAGAAACCTAATCGTCGACAAATTTTACAATGTTCCTGTCCGCGACCAATGAGAGCCCTAACCTCGTTGATAATCACATTAATCAGCAGAGTATGGGTTTAATAAGCTCAGTCTCCGTCCGACCGCCTTTCACAACGAACGTGTACGATGCACACCGATACGGATACTAGCAGGATCTAGTGTTGATCTAGTGTGGCTGGTGGGTTAAGGCTGTCAGCTGATTTGACGACGCCAGGAGTGGGGGGAGGTCGTGGATTCAGACCGCCAGTTGGATTTGCGCGGCCCTGCCACAGGGTGATCTGTCGATCTTTCGACTTTTTTTTTCTTCGAAGCGTGACCGTTGGTGTGATTATATCGGTTCTGCTCGTCAATGATTCGGGTGCTGTGTGTTTAGAGGCCAAGGTTTGGACTATTTGTTTCCCTGCATATGTATGCACATGCGCCTGTGAGCACAATGCAGTAATGCAGTAATGCTGTCAGTGGCAAGAAACCAGTGCGATAAGGTTTTGGACTGCTGGCCAAAGGCGTTGGCACAGGAACTGAAAGTGAAGGAATGTGAAGGAATGTGAAGATGGTGTACTTTGTCAAAGGGCTAGATGGGAAAGATGCTAGTTTAGGTAGGGTTTTCATATTAAACGTCTATGCTTCGTGCGAGCTATTCTTGGAATAGTGGATAGAAACGATGCCGCATGTCTCACGTCCATCCATGGATATCAGCAGATGTAAAATTGAGAGCACAGTAAATGCAATACTATATTTTAACCATATGTCTCCTTGATTTCATTACTCGTCGATATGGATAAGCATTTAGAGTAGTCTATAGTAAAAGCTTCATTTTGGTCTACTCCACTCTACCCAGTCACTGTTATATTAACTTTCCTGAAACGCACTCAGGTGACGAGAGGTAATATAAAAATGAGATTGCAAGGATCACACCATTCAAACAACCGTTGAGATATCAAATTGCAAATTAGCGCGTTTGCTCTGTGTTTTGCCCTGGTGGGGTACGTTATCGCCTAACTATATTGTGGCCTGGCTTTGAAGGCAGACAGGCATTATCAACTCCTAACTAAAGAATGTCCAGAATAAATAACCTAACACCTCCTCCATTTCCCATCTCCCAATACTTCCCTCTGCGCCCTTTCTCATTTACACCCTAAGCATTCCGGTCTTCATTCACAGAGCTGGAAACCCTTTACCGGCCCCTACACCGAACTGTTCTTATCCCCCTCTTCTGCAGCGGCTAGGAAGAAAATGCCACTCCCCTCGGGCTGTGGTGTATGCGGCAAGGATGATAGAGTTCTCCGCTGCTCCGGCTGCAGAGTGATGCTATACTGCAGCGTCGAACACCAGACCGCGCACCGCCGGAAGCACAAGTCCGCGTGTAGCGCAATCCGCAGATGTCGCATTACTATGGAGAATGAAGAACGGGTCCTACGGGACCACCCCGATAATATCTTTACCTACGGCATCGGCCATTTCTGGAAGATCCACGAGACCCGCCCTTACATGCGCTACCGCGCTGCCCTTTCAGATACCATGACCGCCGTTAACCATGTCGAGTCGCTCCAGAAACAGCTCAACATCCTGATAGACAATCTGTATCTCTCCCGAGGCGACAACATGGGCTCGCGGGACGTCATCCCCAGCCTGATGATCCGCCTCCAGCAGGACCAGGAGTGCTACGATTTCCTGAAGTGGTGGGCGACCACCGGCCAGCAGGACGACTATGACTGGGGTAACAATACCCTGCCGTACCTGGACGTCAGGAACGCCAATCCGCTCGAGCCCGTCGATATCTTCTGCGGCAGGTGGATTGATCTGCCTCATCTCGTGGCCGTGACTTTAGTCAAGATCAAGGTGTTGCAGGTGCTGCAGGGGCTCCTGGAAGACATGGGACGTCCGGATGGTATGACGCACATGCCGGAACTCGGCTTCTGTCCGTCGACTATCAGCAATAACCCCAATATCATCACTTGCGACAAGCGCGTGGAAATCGGGAGACTAAAGGCGCAAATTCGCGCTTTGTACAACGATGTCCACAAATTGAACGCACATTTCTGGCCGGCCCTGATGAACCCAGGTAAGCATTTGGACGCTAAGCCTATGAGGTTTTCGATCGGGAGCGTGGAACAGATGCAGATGGCTTTGAATTTTACATATGAAGCTTGGGACGAGGCTCCTGGGGCTATTGCTATTATCAAGAAGTGCAGTGAGGGTAAACTTTGAAGTTTCCTTCAAAGAGATATTTCAAGGTTAATTAGATGCGAGGATGATGAAAGCGGTTTTTGAGCATTACACGGGTTAAGTTTGACATTTAAGATCGAGGTTGTTTCTACACTACAGAATGAATACTCGGGATAATCCCTTCAATGGAATTGAGGTTGCATAACGTGGATTGGTAGAATAAACATTTCCGATTATTGTAGGTAGTAATCCTGGTTCTTCTACAAAGAAACCTATCTATATCTACTACAAGAATAGTGGGTGCTTATATAGCCGTCCAACGACGTAAGACTTCGATAATCAGATTCACAATGACAACAAGGCTGTTATATAGATAGTAACACTGATTCAACAACATACCAACCCAAGCCTTCCGATATGTCAACCCGTACAACGTTGCAGTCCCACCCGCGCCACCCGTAACTAGACGGGTAACTCCGTCCCCAAAACCCATATCTGCCCCTCACCACCTAATTAGACCAGTCGCATCCCACCCACCACCATGGGAATGAAAGCGCGCTGCCAATGCGGCCAGATCCAATTCACGACGCCAACCGACAAACCCCTAAAACTCTGGATCTGCCACTGCACCGAATGCCAGCACCAAAGCTCATCCGCATTCGGCATCACCGCCACATTCCCGTACTTCGAGCTCCCGGAGTCCGCGTCGGGTCTGGTGGACAGCTACACGCGCGTCACGCTCAAGGGACGCGAATTGGAGTGTCTTTTCTGCAGGGGGTGTGGCGCGCGGCTTTTGCATCGCTTCCGGGATGCGGTGCCTGCGCCGGGCGAACAGCCAGCGTTTTCGGCGATTACGAATGTTAAGGGGGGGTGTTTGGAGGATTTGGATAGGGGGATGATGAGGACCGCTGTGCATATTTGGTGTCAGCATGCTGTTGTTGATATTCCGGGTGGTGTGGAGAGGTGGGAGCAGGAACCGCCGAAGCCGAATCCGTTGGTTACTTAGTTTTGTGTGAGGGTGAGGATGGGAGGTGTTTTGAATTGATTTGGTTTTTTCGAGCTGTTAATGGATGTATGTATGTTGTATATATACACTATTAGGAGAAGAACATGCCTATATACTCGTAGTCTACCCGACGACAGAAGTCCAGCCGTTATCAATAGCGATGGTCGCGCCGTTGATCTGGCCGGCGCCCTTTCCATATGTCATGTTCACACAGAACCCAGCAACTTCATTCACATCGACGGGGGGAGCTTGGATGGCATTGAGGACACCGATCATCTTCTCATAGCCCCCCATATGCATTCCCTTGCTAAACGCATCCGCAATGTTGGTTTCCATGCCGCCCATCATCAAAGCATTGCACTTGATGCCCTTGTTGCCATAGTACGCAGCCGTGCTCTTGGTCAATCCGACCAGGCCGTGCTTGCTAGCCGTATAGGCCGCACCTAAAAGAAGTCAATCTCAAATCATCATCCAGTAGAGATCTCAATCAGAACATACCACTAGCCCATCCAGCCTTCCCAGCAACAGAAACAATATTAATAATGCGCCCATCCGGCTTCGGCTGCGCCAGCATGTTCCGAACAGCCAATTTACTCAGCAGAGCCGGGGCAGTGAGATTAATCGCCAAGACGCGATCCCAAAGCTCCATGTCCAGATCGCCGATCGGGTCGAAGTGGTCCATGATGCCGGCGTTGTTGACGAGGACGTCGATTTTGCCGAACTCGCCAATCAGCGTTTCAAACAGGCTCTCCACTTCGCTGGTCTGGGTGATATCCGTCTTGATGGCCTTCAGGGGACCCTTGGGGGAGAGTTCGGCTGAGGTCGCTTGCAGACGTTCCTCGTTCACATCGCAGATTACGACGTTGGCGCCGGCTTCGAGGAAGTGTGTTGCGATTGCTTTGCCTAGGCCGCCGCCGCCACCGGTGACGAGGCATGTCTTTCCTGCGAGGATATGTTCAGACATTGTGAGGGAGGACTATGATAGATAGGAATAAAAGTGAGTGAATCTCGAGTGAAATCGACGACCTCGTTTAAATATTTGTCCATTTTGGCGACGGAAGGCCTTCTACCCGTTCTCCGTTCACATTGGACACGGTGGAATCCACTTTCGACCTCGAGAATCGGCTCGGGAGGGCGCCTTTTCTGGGGTACGGTTTGCCTTGAGGGCATCGGACCACTCATGGCAGTTGGCCTTGCCGAGCGGTAATGTTGATACGGATACGAGTCTCCATATTGTCTGGACGGGATCGGTAGCTGTGTGTATGTTTATAAAGGTAGAGGATGAAGATCAATCAAGAAACTGGACCATTTCTGCGTTGTATTGAATGAGCCTCGAATTCGATTCGCGATTTAAGCCTCTGCCTAGCCTGGGATGTGTTGGCCTATAAAGGGGCTTGCAATACACATCCGGGTAACGGGTGAAACATTGATATCACGTGAGATTGCGCGGAAACGTATCTATCCGAGCCTAACCTGGTTTCCTGTTTGGTGTGTCTCTCTACTGTTCATGTATGGATCTTGAGAAGCCTCGTTGATAGCC